TTTTTTTTTTTTTTTTTCAGACAGGGCTTGGCTATGCAGCCCAGGCTGGCTTCAAACTCACATCCACCCTCCTGCCTCAGCCTCCTGTGTACTGGGATTACAGGGGTGCACCACCTGAGCACCTGTTGTATGCCAGTACTGAAAATTACAATGATGCACAAATAAGACTGGTCAGGAAGGACAGGCAGACAAACCCTCAGATAATTTTAGGGAATGTGGCAAGTGCCACAGCAACACAGGTGAAAGAGGTGGGAAATCAGTCGTGCTTGTAGCAAGGTGTTGGAGAGGAGTCAGAGAAGCTTTCTAGTGTCGGGAAGAAGGAAGCGCTAAGTAGAGCGGGAGGGGGGGATGGAAGCGAAGAGTGTTCCAGGCAGAAGACACATCATTCACAAACTCTGAGCCATGAAACATGTGGTTTGGCCGGGGAATCCCCAGCACCTCAGCATTATTACAACATGACATACAAGGCACGAGGCTGAACAAATAGGCTCCAACCAGGACCTTGAAAGCCACCTGACTGTTCTGAGGGCAAATGGGGCACAGGATGTTCGGAAGCAGGGGAGGAAGTCTCACCAAACTTGTCATTTAGAAAGTCCACTCCAGCCGCTGGAGGGAAGGGGTAGTAGCTGGGAGAGACTGGGACGGGGTGAAAGTTTGGTGAAGTAGACCTGAATTCAAGCACTGGCACTAGACAAGGGGCAGGGCAAATCTAAATCCCGAAGGAGGCAGAATCCCCAGGACTTGGTGACTAATGGCTGTGGGGGAGGAGAGGAAGGCATCAATCAAAGGGGACACCCAGATCTCTGCCTGCGTGAAGATAGGCTGCTGCCTGCAATAGGGTCAGCAAGGATGGAGGCAAGGAGAGGAGTCAGCTCTTATCTGGGCCTCTGGAGGCCGCAGGAGGGGCTCTGTCCCCAGCCACAGAGACGACATGGCCTCCAGCCCAGGGTCAGGGAATCCCGTGTGAGGTGAGGGGAGAACTACCTGGTGGGCTCATCAAAGAACATGACAGGTGGGTTGTTGACCAGCTCCAGGGCGATGGCCAGGCGCTTCCTCTGCCCGCCAGAGAGCAGGGCTGTCCTCGTGTGGGAGCAGGACATCAGGCCCAGTGCTGTCAGGATCTCTGTCACCTGGAGCCGCCCCCACCCAGTCCAGGTCAGCTTCAGAGCATCTGCCGCCCCCACCAGCCACCACCCTGTTTCACAGCATCTCCCCTGAGCCTACTTGGCTGCCACTTAGGGCCCTGGGGCTTGTGAGCCTCACAAAGGGCAGCCATCCCCTTGCCCCCCTTCCCCACTCACCAGTTCTTTCTTCACCTCCTGCTTCTCACTCAGCTTCAGATTGGCAGAGACCTAGGGCCCCAAATAGGTAAGAAAGGTGTTCATGAGAAGAGCGTAGCCATAGCCCCGCCCTGAGGAGGAGGAGGAGGAGGATCTGTCGGGACAGCAGACAAATAAGGGGATTGGCGAAGGGGAAAACCACCTAGCCCTCACCATCATGGCTTCTAGCACTGTGAGGTGCGGCAGTAACATGTCATCCTGCATGATATAGCAGGACATCTTGCGGAAGGTCCTCAGCTCCCTCGGCCTCCCGTTGACCAGAATCTGCCCCTTCATTCCAGACTCCCTGAGGGGACATTGGTTGTAGGAGGGCAAAGTCCCTGTAGAACACTTTCCGTGCCCCCCGAAAGGTCCTTCTTCCTGAGTCCTGCCCCCACCCTCGTTGTCACCTGTATCCTGCCAAGATGTTCATGAAGGTGGACTTGCCAGCTCCTGAGGGGCCCATGATGCCAATCAGCTCCCGGCGGCAGAATTTACCCGATAGGCACTTGAGGAGGGTCTTATAACCTGCAGGGGAAAGGGAGAAATGTTTGATGAGGGCTACAGTGAGTGGTGGAGGCACTCCCAAAACTCTGAGGAGCAGCCGTGGTGGCTATCAGTGAAATCAGTACACAGTCTTTGCTCAGTGTAATGGGGTTAGGATGGAAGAGTGACCTTCAGAGTACCAGCAATGACCCATTCTGTCCCTCTAGAAACAACTGGCACTAATGTCAAAGTGCCAGAGATGACAGTTTTCTGAAGGCTGTGGGGAGCCAATGGATCTCATAGGTGGCTGTGGAGAGGAGAGGGCATCAATGTTATAGGACACCCTTGCCTCCTCAGTAGCCACAGGGCTCCCTGTCTCAGGAAGACCTTCCCTCTGGTCCAGCCTGGACTGGCTGGCTGTCTTTTGTGTCTCTGAGGCACTTTTGATATTCCAACATGTATGTGACTTGCAGTGCCTGTCCATTCTCCCCCTCTACCCTCTTAGTCAGTGAGCTCCTGAGAGGCAGGGACTGTCCTACTCATCTTTGTAACAGTCTGTCTGCATGTCACAGATGCTCAGCAAGTGTTTTTGCTATAGAAATGTGTGTCTGCAGAGCTTTTGCCTCATTCTGGAAAAAAAGAAAAAAAAAACTGCTTTCTTTGTGTTCTGTCTGCCCTCTGAGCTTGTCTCTCCAGCCCCTAACATGGCCCAGCAAAATCTCACCTTTCACTCACTCATAGGAAACAGCTATGCATAAAAAGCACCAGTGTGGAGTCAGGTTGATATGGGTTCAAATTCTAGCTCCACACTTAGTTGTGTGACCTAGGGCAAGTTGTTTAACCTCTCTGAGCTCCAGGTCCCTCATCTGCAAAATGAGGACGATGTACTTATAGAGCTGCTGAGAAGATGCAATGAGATAAGCTAAATGAAGCATATGACATAGTGCTTGACACATAGGGAACATTTGAAAAGAGATATTATATTATTAATCCCATTTTACAAATGTTTATTGATAAACATAAACACTCTGCACCAAGCTCTATACCAGACACAGGAGGAAGAGAATGAGGAAGGGCAGTTTTGACACTCAAGAAGGTCAGAGTCTAGGTAAGACAGATGGACAAGAAAACATCTATGATTTGAAGAACAGTAAACATGAGTCACAACAGAAGGATGGGATAATGTGCCACAAGAATGCAGAAAATGGCATTGATGAGGGTGGATGGTAAGGGGGACATCGGGACCAGCTTCCTGGAGGAGGTGACATTTGAGCTAAAGATGAGCAAGGTTTCCAAAGGCAGAGGCTCTCCAGGCTTTAGGGGGAAAAGCTCTGCTATAGAAAAGTCTGACCAAATACACACACAGACAATAATGCAGGGCACAGCAAGCAGGGACTCCATGGGGAACCTGGGGAGATGCAGTAGAGAGGAAGAAGGAAGCCAGTGAGGAGGATCTTGCCTCCTACATTTGCTGATCTGCCCTGGTAAGGGGACGACACCCTCACCTAGCACTGTGCTCTCTACCAAATTTCACCAAGCCCATGATGCTCAGCTCCCCCTTAGCAGAGACAGTGAAAGGACTGCTTACTCCACCCTCTGCCCCGCTATACCCAGGATGTCAAGTGGCCCCGCTGTTCCTCTGGGCACATCCATTAGGAGGGGATCGGCTCCTGCCCTCTGTCGGGGCTCAACCACATCAACTGCCTGGCTGGTCCTCACCACTACGACTGCTCCTCTAACAACACAGCTGAGGCACCTGGGCCAGGGAGTCACCCAAGGTCACACAGCAAGTTCTCCACTAGGATAGGAAGCCATAGGTTCTGACCCTCATCATCAGTCCAAAGGGTGTTTCATTGTGCTCTCCACCCTACACTTGTCAGAGCCACTCATAGGAAGTGATTTCCTGTGCAAGGGAAGCAACTGGCAATGATAAACTTTCCCCACTTTTAGTCACAGCCAGGCACTGGTCGAAACACTGAGGTCTAGCACAAATATCATCTTACATTCCCTTGCCTTTCGCTAAGTACTTTCATAGATGCAGATGTGCTGAGCTCCCTTGTAGGTACTGTTACCATCACGGCTTATGGATGAGAAAAGTGAGGCCAAGAGAGGGGAAGCAACTTGCCCAAAGTCACACAGCTTCCATGGGTAGGAGCCCATGTCTCTGTGTCACAACTGCTCTGCATGCAAGAGGCCTGCCAGGCCTTCGGGCTGGAGAGACATCAGAATGCTAGTCTTGCAGCAGTCAACAACTCTGCAATTTCTGTCATCAGTCTTTAGGGCCTCTAAGTCCTCATCTGTAAAAGAAGGATCAGAATATTGCTCCAAAAGACTTAGCAGGGTTATTATAAATAGTAAGTGAGTCTGTTAATAATAATAATGGGAAAGCATTCTAAAAAGTGAAATATCACATAGAGTTAGGGAAACTGGTAGCAAATCCTTAACTAGGAAAAGCAGAAATTTCCCTCTCTCCATATCTTTGTTTGATTTTTTTTTTTTTGGAGTGTTGTTTCATTTTGAAACAAGGTCTTGCTATGTAATTCAGACTGGCCTTGAACTCGCTATGTAGCCCAGGCTGGCCCCAAACTCACAGTGATCCTCCTGCCTTAGCCTTCCAAGGGCTAGGATTTTAGGCATGGGCCACCACACCTGCTTTTAGAAATCTCCCTCTCTCCATATCCCTTGCTCTTTTTCTCTCTGACTCCCTAATTGCTTTTTGCCCTCTAGAGAAGGGGTGAGGGATTCAGGGAAAAGAAGTCAGAGAGAGGAGGGCAGAAGACAGAGTGCAGAAAGAGGGTAAAGGGATGGAATAGGCAGCAAAATGGATAGCAGAGTAGTACAGGGCTAGCAAGGTCAAAGGAAAAGCAGATCTATCTCACCACACTTCTTTTTGTCTTCATTTCTCCTTAAAGGTATGAGGAGCCAGGTGTGGTGAAGCATACCTGTCATCCCAGCTACTCAGCAGGCTGAGGCAGAAAGATTTCAAATTTGAGGCCAGCCTGAGCAACTTGGCAAGACCCCCATCTCAAAATTTTAAAAACAAATGTAAAAGGGACAGGGATGTAGCTGAGTGGTACAGCACTTGGCAGCATGCACAAGGCCCTTGGCTCCATTCTTAGCACTGGGGCAGGAGCTATGAGGGAATGATAGGGCCAAAGAAATAACATCATCCTTTTGCCCAGAGCAGGTCTCAAGCCTGAAAGAGGCTCCTTAAAGACCTGGTGCTGGGCAGGGAGTCTAGGTGCCTCGGTTTCCACTGGCTGGGTCCTATGGCTTTTTTGTCACCCATGGGAGTGACGGTGGGGAATGTAGAGACATCTCCTGCCCAGCCCTGCTTTGAAGCACCCAAAACCTAGTTCTTAAACCTGAGACAATGTCCCAGCTCCACCCCTGCCCACACCCAGCCCTGGGAAATGAACCCAGCCTCTCCATTCCTAGCTCAGGCTACCCAGCGTAGAGGCGCAAGGGGTGGTCTGGGCTCAGGGCACCTGTCCTGATGGAAGAGGGGCGGAGGGGGAAATGCTGTTCTGGGCTTCTGGCCCAGCTCTGCCACTTTACTAGCTGTGGGACATGGGTCAAGGTAACTTCCCGGAGCCTCAGTTTCCTTATTAGTAATACAAGCATGACATCTATCCTGCCAAACCACCACCCTTTCCACTTGGGACTGTGGCAAGAATGGAATTAGATGACAGGAACAATGACATCTTTAAAAACAGGTGCAAGAGTATTGTTAAATGTCCAGGAGGCCCCCTGCACACACTGCCTTTTCTCGCCAGCCCTCACAGGCGGGGATCCTCCGAAAAGATTAAAGAAAACTCATTAAAGACCAGAGGTCCTAGGTCCGATTTTCTTCAATAACTAATGGAACCTAGTGTCCTGCAGCGCTTACAGGTGTGGGGGAGCAGGCGTCCTGTGCCCCAAACGCGTGCACAGCGATGAGGGGAGGAGGCCCATCGGTCCCCCACATGCTCCAGGACAGGCTGCTCCCTACCGCGTTTGCGCCAGCAGGGCCCCTCCCGCACGGAGTAGGACAGCTCCACGAACTCGATGTCCACGGCGGAACGCTTGGGTAGATGGGAGAAGCGCTGGGCCTCTGTGATATGGTTCTCCACCTTCTTCAGGTGCGTGGTCAGCACAGGGGGCTCCGCCCCGTCCTCCAGCGCCACGGCCATGGTCACAGCCCCTGACCCTAGTGCACACCCCACGGCTTCCAGCGCCTTCTCCGCCATCGCAGCGGGCCTGCAGGGAGAGGGCCTGCTCGGTTCAGGCCGACCCCCCGCCCCGGCTCGAAGCCCCTTGCTTTCTAATGCTGCCCACCATCTCCTTCTCAGGGCAGATTCCCTAGTGGTCAGCAACCCATTCCGGGCCTGAGCATCTGGCCCTGGCCCCAAGCCCACCGCGCAGCGGCTCAGCCCCGACCTCTCTCCCAGGTCCCAGGCAGCCCCAGCCCGGCATCTGCTCGGCCTAGCCTGGCCCCCACCAAGCCGCCCCGCTCCTCCTCCCGCGCGACTCTAATCTCCTTAAACTGTAGCCAGCAGCACCCCCAGGACCCGATGCTCAGCGCGGGGAGGGCCGCGGCGGAGCTGCCAGGGAGGTGCGCGCAGGGCGGACCCTCAGAAGGCGCCGGAGAGAAGGGCCCCGTCCCCGGAGCTGTGTCCTCGAGCCCGCCGGCCACTGCGTTCTTCTCCGAGCTACTGCTCGCCGGTCCCGCTGCTCTTAAAGGGCCCGCGCCCGCTCCACAGCCAGCGGGGGCCGAGGATGGAGAAGGGGAGAGTAGTGCCTGCGGCGCGGGGACCAAAAGGGGCGCGGTTGTGAATCCAGGACTCGGGGCTGGCTGCGAATGATCGACTTGGGGGCCATAAAGAAGGGACTCCTTCTTTCTGAAGTGATTCCGTGGGGACTGGTCCCTGAAAGTAGACTAGACAATGGTAGTGACGGCGCGCGCGGGGCGGGGGTGCGTATGCAAGAGACTGAAGCGATCGGTCTGTGCACAAACCCTGCCTCCATCGATTCCCTTCAGTTCCAACCCTAGAGTTCAGCCCCCTCCCACACGCAAACTAAGTACAAAGGGTTTCAAAAAAGCAGGAGTCAGGACTTTCTCCTTCCACTCCCTCACTGGCCCTTTCGAAGGGTGAGGACTCTAGTTGGAAAGGGAGCGCACTATGGGGGCAGCTGCAAGGTATACTGTACTGGTGTTTTATGCCGGCACTCAAGTTCCTGCTTGGGCTGCAGGACTCTTTAGTCCACCAGGCAGACTCAGCTCCCCAAGGCAGGCGCAGGGCTGACCCGGGAGGTGCCTGCGTGCCGGACTGTACAGGGGGCTCACAGACATTGCCCCGGACATCTTCTCACACACGTGGGATTCGCTGCCTCACTCCACAAGCTTGCAGCTTGTGATGGGTCCCTTGGGAGCACTTGGGGCTTCCCGCCCCCACCCTGTGCTTTCCCCATTCCTCAGGCAATTCCTCCTGGCCCCTGCCTGCCCAGCCTCTGTCTTCAAGGGGTAAGTAGGTTAGCCAGCCAAGACACGTGACCTGAGCTTTTAAATTCCCACCTGTCACACAGCAGAGAAGGATGGGAGGGAAGAGGCTGAGGCGTTGGCACCACTGCCACCACTGAGGCTTCTCTTGACTGCAGCAGCTGAGAGGTTACTAGCAGTCAAACCCCCTCGTCTCTGCAGCTGGTAGGCTGGTGGCCCCAGTGGGGCATCTCAGGCCTGTAACTGTGAGGCTCATGTGGGTTTTGGAGGCAGCCTTCACTGCCCTCCCTCCAACTCCTGATGCAATCGCCATCCTCAGGACCAGACTTCCTACTCTTCAGAGAGACCCTCCCTTCTCCACGGTAACATCCGAAGTTTCACTATGGACACGGCAATTGTCCAACAGTTGCATTTATCGAGTAACTACTCTATACCAGGCATATTCTTATTTAATCTCCTTTAGAGATAAGACAAACTGAGGCATAGGAAGTTAAACTATGTATGCCCAAGGGGACATTTATAGTCAGTAGTAAAGCTGAGTATGAACTTTAAAGTCCCTTTTAACGTCCACTCCGCTAATTGGTCCTCTTATAACCAAATGAATTGTCTCCCTCCATTTTCTAGAGAGGCTGTTCATATTCTCCCCTCCCCACTTTGACACAGTCTCACCAAACTACCTCGGTGGGACTTGGATCTGTGGTCCTCCTGCCTCAGCTTCCGAGGTGCTGGGATTACATGGCTGCACCACCACATGCTGCTCATCTTCCCTATCTCCTAGTGCCGCGTCTACCCACCATTCCCTGCCATCATCTTTCCAGTTCCAGGAAGGTTTCTTCCTCTTTCAGGAAAACACCATCTCCCATTCTCCATATGCTTTTTAAAAATTACTACATGTGCCGGACATTGGGGTGCACGCCTGTAATTCCAACACTCAGGAGGCTGAGGCAGGAGGGATCACTGTGAGTTCGAGACTAGCCTGGGCTACATAGTGAGTTCCAGGTCAGTCTCAACTGTACAGTGAGACCCTGTCTCAGAAAACAAAAACAAAAAATTACTACATGTTTGTAATACATAAAAGTTGCAGTTATTTGGGGGGAATTGGTAAATATATGTATCACAGCTTAATAACTTTTATTTCCCCCTCCTTTTAATTAATTTATTTATTTATTTGAAAAAGAGTCTCACTATGTAGCCCAGGCTGGCCTCCAACTTGCGGTGATCTTCTTGCCTCAGCCTCCTGAGTGCTCCATTCCCCATCTTCTAAGACTAACAGTGCATGTCTTCTGTCAGCTTTCCATACTGTGGGATACACACTATATACCCAGAACTGTGGTCCTGCGCCTTGACTGAGGGTTGGTCTCCCTTGGGGAGCTTTTCGAAAGTTTCCCAGACACCATCCCAGTCATTCTCACTGTAGGGAGAAACCCAGGCAACAGTGTTTTTTAGAAGCTCCTGGGGTGATCTTCCAGGACAGCAAAGCTAAGAACTGCTGTCCTGCAGAAACCTGTTCCCTGGATGACAGCCCTGGCCACGTGCCCATGGACAGTTCAAAGCCTCTCTTGCCTGAGCAGGCTTCCTCATTCTTTTCCCATTTTGAGATCTTCCACATCCTGAACCAGGAGTCAGAAGATCTGTGTCCTGACCTTAGCACTGATTCTTACCAGTTCTGAATTGTATTCTCATGTTTTGAGAAACAATGAATAGAATATAATGCTTATCATAGTATGGGGTATAATGTGATATTCCAATCCATGTATACAACAGGTATGACTTTATCAGGTCAGTTGGCATATCCATCACCTATCATTTCTTTGTATTAGGCACATTCAAAATCCTCTGTACTATTCTGAAACGTACAATTAATTTTTGGCAACCAGCTACCTTACTGTGCAGAAAATATTAGAAGTTAGGGCCAGGGATTTAGCTCAGTGGTTCCACCTCCTGCCTCAAAAGCATAAGGTCCCAAGTTCAATCCCCGGTACCAAAAGAAAAAGTTTCTGTACAGCAAAATTAGAAGTTAATCCTCCTATCCAATCACACCCTGTACCTGTTAGCCACCTCTCTTCCTCTCCTTGCAGCCCCCAACGATTGTTCTGTTCTCTTAAGCAAAGTTCTCAACCTAAGCCTTATCTGAGTAAGAGGGGTGACAAAGTAACTGTGCAACTGTCTCCAAAGTTTCTAATGTAGATCGTGTCCAAATGCTGAGCAACAGATGATCATTCTTATGAGTATATTTCATGATACATAATTAATATATTCATGGATTATTGGTCCTTTTTGGGGGGTAACACAGGGGTCTCCATATGTAGTTCAGGCTTCCCTTGAACTCACTTATGTAGTCCAGGCTGGCCTCAAACTTGCAGCCATCCTTGTTATGGCTTAAATCGAGATGTTCCCCCAAAGGCACTCATCGGTGGGGCTTTCGGGAGGTGACTGAATCATGGGGGTGTGATATCCATTACTGGATTTGTCCACTGGGTGTGATGTAAGACGGTGCAGAAGCCTGGTGGGAAGATGTCGCGAGCCGCTTGCCAGCAAGAAAGCACGCAATACTCAGGATCCTTTTGAAGCTTCTTTATTATCTTGGGAGAAGGTCTAAAGCTTTTACAAAAAATCTTTTTTTATATATCCTGCTAACTATATTAACTCGACAGAAACAAGAAGTTATAAGATCATGACTATAGCACATTCCGATCACTATCAGGGGAATAAACTTCAGGCAGGGAGCAACCATAAAAGCAATGTCGCCATCCCAGAACAAACATCTTGATCAAGGATGACTTAAACAAAGAACTTCTGCAAATAAGCCACAATCCCAACACAGCTCAGCAAACAGGAGACTGAAATTCCTCACGATGACTTGGCAGCCTGCAGTGTCTGCAGACCAAAGCACTCCACAGGAAGAGGTGGGGCGCTGTGGGTGTGGCCCGGATCTCCTCCTCCTCCCTTGATCCCTCTGCTTCTGCTTCCTGCCTGCTATGCCATGACCTGTTTCTCTCTGCCATGGCCTTCTGCAATGCTGTCCTGCCTTGGAATCAGCCAACCATGGTCTGAAATCTCTACAAACGGTGAGCCAAAATTAATCTTTCCTCTTTTAACTTGTGGGTCTCAAGTATTGTCCCAGCAATGAGAAGGTAACGACGACACTCCTGCCTCAGCTTCCCAAGTGCCGAGATTATAGGCATACACCACACAGACTAATGGTTTTTATTCTCAAGAACAGACCACACATCTTTACTCTCCAGGTCACACTTACTGTAAGTTTTGGTCAATTCCCTTCCCCAGAAGGCTCTCCCACTTCCTTGGCAGAGGAAGAGAAGCTACATTTATTGCATAGCTACTCTGTTAGGCACCTAGCACAGAGATGTGATCTCTAAGGGAGGGATAGGCCTGTCTTTCTCTTTTTCCTCTGTATTCCTAAAACTTTTACACAGTGATGCATCCAATAAATATGTTTTCTGAAAGTTCTGACCAGGCCTCACACAATTTTATAAGTTATCACCTTCTTATGTTTCAGATGTAGCAAATGAAGCTCAGAAGTGTTCAGTACAAGTTTGAGGTCCAGGTTACATATCTGGTATGAAGGATCCAAAGGTTCAAATTCAGGTTTCAGGGGTTCTAAACTATAGCATTGGTATGTATCTGTAATACTAGCACTTGGGAGGCTGAGGGAGCAGGATCACAAGTTTGAGGACAGCCTGAGCTACACAGTGAGACCCTAGACTCTATTTCAAAATGCCAAAAACATATAAGCAAATAAAAAATGTTTAAATGATCAATGCTCTTTATTACATAATAGCAAATAATTTTTTAAAACTATGACTGTATATATTAGGTTAGATTCCTTATTCCATTATTATCACCACCTTCGCATCCTATGTTATTTTTTAAAGGCTTATTTTCCATTCCTGGATATGAAACCCAGGGTCTAGACCATGGTTGGCTCGATCACTGAGCTATATACTTCAGCACCTTCTATCTCAAGAAACAAAGTAGATCTGTCTCCACTCCCCTGAATAGGCCTTATTCTAGGGTACAGAACCTACCTAGGGCTAGGGGTATAGTTTGAAAGTACAGCACTTGCCTACTGTCTATCATGTGCATGGCCCTGGGTTCAATCCTCAGCAATGGGGGGGGGACGTTTCTACCTTGCCAGAAGGCTACTAACATAGACTCTTCCCCATTCTAGCAATACTCCCCACTCCTACCGCATATCCTTTCTTTTTGGAGGGGTACCAAGGATTGAACTCAGGACTTTGCACTTACAAGATAAGCAGGGTGCCACTGAGCTAAATCTCTGGCCCTAGCCTCCTTTGTTTTCTGAAAACACATGCTTTTAACTCCTAGAATAGACATTATAACTCAAGAACAGTGGCTGTCAAACTTCAGGGCAAATCCAAATCCTTGGGAGTGCTACTAGACTAGGGACCACATTTTGTGGAATGCTGCTCAAAAGAAACTCCTTTCCTTAGCCTAGACCTCACCATCCCCAGAACAAACCGTTTCCCACAACAAAATTACCCTAACTTCCAGATGGGCACTCTCCCATCTCCCCAAGTCAACCTCCTCCCATTTCTGGAGATTTTTTTGAGACAGAGTCTCACTTCATAGTGCAGTCTGGCTTTGAATATGTAGCACAGGTTGGCCTTGAACTTGAAAGAATCCTCCTGTCTCAGCTTCCCAAATGCTGGGATTCCAGGCATGTGTCACCATGCCAGGTTCGATTCTTTTCTTGCGAATCCTCCCAACCCCCACATTGGCCTCTACACCCTCACCACCAAGCAGAAACTCTTTCCAGGGCTGATAATTATCTTAAGAGGACCAAAGCAGGAGCAGAAAATTCCCGCCTTAGCTTAGTGCTGGGAACTAATCTAGCAGCCTCCTTTGGGCAAGGATCTGTGAGAGAAGCAGTTGGTAAGGAATTTTATGGACTTCTGAAGAAAGAAAGGTGGCAAGGTACTATGAGATCTGGAAAAGGCCTCAACTAGAGACTTTGAAACTGATTCATTTCTGCTTCCACCCTAGGTCCTTAGTCCACAGTGCCTCCCTGGCCCACGGTAACAGTGTCATCTCTAGGCAGGCCCACTCTGCAGTATATTTGTCAAGGGAGGACCCTCTGCTTGTCGCTTGAGGAGGTGCAGCATCTGACAGAAGCCTCTCCTGGCTGGCCTCCCAATCCTAGGCAGGATATGTCAACTTTGTCTCTGTGGGATCCCCTACAGTAGGGACTGTGGAAAGGGCAGAGACTGTGGAAGGCCTGCTACTGATTGCCTTTCCTGAACTCTGACATTAGGCAGTCTTTACTGTTGCTACAATTGCTGTTTTGAGAAAGGGTCTCACTATGTAGTCCAGGCTGACCCTGAACTCACAGGGATCCTGCCTCAGTCTCCCAAGTGTTGGGATTACAGGCGTGCACCACCACACCTAGCAGTTGTTCTAAAGCTAAAAGAATGTAATAAAATAAAGTAATAGCGATATGCATATTAAAAGTGCAGTACTCCTTTTTCTCTCCTTTGATGTGTCATTTCCTTCAATAAGAAAGTGAACACTGGGCTACGCAGTGGGCAGCCCTCCAAAGCTGCAGAATACCAATGTTCTCCAAGGCTTTTTCTTTGTTCTGAGAACTTGAGTCTCACCGCTCTATGGCTTTGCAGAACCAACTTCAGGTCAAGTGTTTCCCAGCTTTGTGCTGGGACCTACCTATTCCCCTTCTAACACAAGGCAGATGAGACAGAGGTCATTGCCATCCAGTGGTCCCTTCTACTCCAATGACCTCTGCCTCACCCCACAGCCTACTTCCTAGTGGACACACTCTGGACCCCAAATGGCCCGGGATTTAGCTCAGTGACACTGAGCCTGCCTCACAAGCATACGGTCCTGAGTTCAATCCCCAGTACTGGAAAAAAAAACAAAACAAAACTGTCCTTTCTGCCCCTAGTTTCCCTTCCTGCCTGCTCATCTTCAGAGACCTCAATGAAGCCTCCAGGTCTTTTATGCTAACTAGTACCTTCCAGTATCTCTGTTCAGTCTGGACCTTATGATCCATTTTAGCTGCTCTAGGTGTCCTGCTATTTGACCCTGTGCAATCCATTCACGTCATGTTGTCACTGTGGGTCACCCAGTGGTTTTTTTTTTGGTACCAGGGATCAAACTCAGGACCTTGTGCTTGCAAGGCAGGTGGCAGCACCTCTGAGCTAGATCCCGGGCCCTGTCTTCTGCTTTTGTTCCAGGGGCACTGGTATGAAGTTACTACAGCCTGATCTTGGTGAACAGCTGTTTTTTAGGTGGTCTCATTTAATGCTCATGTCATCTTAACAGAAATGAAAGAATTTATTCCCCATGACATTCCTCGATCTTCTCACCTTGGAGAATTATTTTTCATAGGCACTCAGTGCTTCTGTGCCCTTCTCTAAAGTTGAGGACCTGCCCCAAGAAAACTGGGAGACTGAGGCAGGATTCACCAAAAGTTCAAGGCCAGCCTGAGCTACATAGTTGTCAAGGCCAGTCCGAACCATATAGCAAGACCGTGTTCACCTCTCCCAAAGGAAGAAAAGCGCACCAGCTTCTAATACCTGGGCTCCCTTCCTGTATACCCTTTAAGAAAAAGTAAGAGGGTGTCTCTTTACTCTTGTACTGTGTAATTTCACAGGTTTTTGTTTGAAATAAGGTCTATGTAGTCCAGGGGAGTCTTGAACGTACATCATCCTACATCAGCTACTGGAGTGCTTATCACAGGGATACCACACCTGGCTCTTGCAATTTAATGTTTTAAAATTACACAGCATTATGAAAAGTGGGGTACTACACCTTTACAGGGTTTTGTAGTCACTTGGTCTTGGTTAGGAGGAAGTCTCTTCTTGGGTAAAGCCTTTCCTGATGTACCGCCCAGGTACTGCTGTCTACCCTGATGTTTGTTTTTGTGGTGCTGGGGACTGAACCCAGGGCCTCATGCATGCTAATTATGGGCTCTGCCTCTGAGCTTCATCACCAAATGGCTAATCTTTGAGCCTTCGAAATGTACTCCACGAAGTTTCTGTCACTACATACCTAGTCCATTCTTATCTCTAAATACTGCAAGCCCCTCCAGGGTAGGCTCTGGGTTTTATTCATCTTTATATCCTCAGTATGTGTGCCCAGACAACAGTTGGAACTCAGTAATGGCTGATGGAACAGATTTTTATTTTTTAACTCTACCTATAATAGGCACACTTTTGTGTGTGTCTGTTTGGCTTTCCGTTTTTAAAGAAGTTTTATTCAGTCCACAGGCACACTGTTTTTGTAGTAAGAATTAAGGCTGGGATGCAACTATGGGGTAGAGCACTTGTCCAATGTATATAAGGTCTTGGATTTCATTCCCAACACTACAAAAAGAAAAAGCAAAAAAAAAAAAAAAAAAAAAAAAAAAAAAAAAAAAAAAAAAAAAAAAAAAAAAAAAGATCATTTTAAAAGGCATAGAAATATTTTTTGGGGTAAGTTCCTGTCTATCCAATTCATGTAAAATTATTTCCTTGATCTCACCAAACTGCCAGAGACCACAAAAAGGAAGCAGGTACTGAGCAGTGAATGAAGAAGCCTGAAGAATGGTTATTTTGTGGGATTTCAACCTCTGAGAATCTAATGAAAAACAGATCCTCTTTCCTTAAAAAACGGACATCCAGGAACACAATTTTCTAATTTGGTACTTGGACCCAGGAGCACTTGGCATTCCCAAGATACTTGCCAATCCACCCTCTATCCCAGGTTCCTTCAATCTCACACATACACAGCCTCACCCTAGAGGCCCAGGGTACTGAGAGTGCAGCCCAGCTGGGTGAGCACTGTTCTTGTCCATTCTATAGTGCTATTACTGTCCATTTAACACTAAGTGCCTGGGGCCTCCAGGGAGCTGGCAGATGCTTTGAGAAGAAATGAACAAGTTCTACCAAAAGGGATGGCATGGTGGCACATGCCTATAACCCCAGAACCTGGGAGCTTCAGGCAGGAAGATCACTGCAGGTCCAAGACCAACATGGGCTACTCAGTGAGTTCAAGGACAGCCTAAACTACATAGTGAGATCTTGCCTCAAAAAACCAAACAATAAAACAAGACTGGGGATTTACCTCAGTGGTGCCGCACCTGCCTTTCAAGTGCAAGGTCCCGAGTTCAATCCCTGTAACCAAAAATAAATAAGTAATAAATAAAACAAAGTTTCAGCCGGGTGTGGCGGCGCACACCTGTAAACCCAGCACTCGGGAGGCTGAGGCAGGAGGATCGCTGCAAGTTCGAGACCAGCCTGGGCTACATAGTGAGACCCTGTCTCAAAAAACAAACAAAAACTAAATAAATAAAACAAAGCTTCTCCAAAGGGGAAGAGCATGAAAATTAAGCAAACCACCCCAGTCAGTAAGAGGGGAAGGAGCCTAATTATTCAGCTCCTCTTCTGAGCAGGTATACCCTCATTACCTACTTAACTGCCATAAAACTTAAAAAGAAATGATTAAGAACCCAAGTGTTTATTACCAAAAACAATGATTTTACACACACACACACACACACACACACACACACACACACACGCATACACACACTTATACAAAGAGTGCCTTCAATTCTGTCCCTGAGGATAACCACAAATGTCCCTGGGGCGTAGAGGACCCCTTGAGAGAAATGGCTGCCTGGTTTTCAATGCCTTAACTGGTATTGAGGAAAGGGCCCTTGTAAGCGACTAACCATTTATCATCCTTGGGCCCAAGGACTCCTAAAGATGGGAATGGATGTAAGTTGACTAAGGATTTAATTGCTTCCCAGAACACTGAGGGTGTTAAAGGTAGGACTGACAACAAGAACCCCATAACAAAAACACATATCCAGGATCCCCTCAAAGAATCCAAATTCCTCAGGACCCCTACAAAATGCAGTATGGCTAAAACTGGAAGTTCTTAGAATGTGTAGAATGATGCAAACCTGGGCCACAGGGGACCACACTGTTTTCAGCACCACTCCTGAAGGCATTCATTGGCAAAGGCTGCCCACCAGGGACACTGCTACCTGCCTGGCTCAAACCTCAAGGCCTGGGGTAGGAATGGTCAGGCTTTGTAGCCTTCATGCCATCTGGACCTCTGGCTCCTCAGCTACTCCTTGAAGCTTTTCCAAGACCCCTGAGGGTGGTTCAGGGACTGGGGGTGGCTCTCCTGGGGCTTCAGACAGCACATAGTAGACAATCTCTCGCTGGCCTTGGGCATTGGTCTGATTCACCACGTGGATAACAGGGCTTGAGCTGTCCTGAGAGGCAGAGAGAGCTGTCGCTTCACTGTGCCCACTCCCATCTTCTGCCTCCTCTTCAGGTCCTGGCTCTCCCAGCTCTGTTTCCAGAATGATGCCCTGCAGGCTGCTCTCACTCAGCGCCACTCCCAGGCCTGAGCCCTCTTGTGGCTGCCTCAGCAGTTGCTGTGTCAGCTCCACACTCTCGTAGCGAACCAACTGCAGCCGCATGTAGCCATCTTCATGCTCCTTGTACCTGGTAGGGGAGAAGCACAAGGGCAGAAAATACAGGCAGAAGATGCAGAAAGGGCACAGACACTGGCGAGTTAAGAGACAACTGTGAGGGACAGGAGACTCCCGGGATTGAGAGAGATGGGACTGAAGACAAAAGAGGTCTTTATTGGACGATATAAAAGAAGAGGCAAGAGGGAAGGATCATTAATTAAAAAATGGAAAATTCTGTGTAGAAACCCAACCCAGAGAGAGATTGATTCTTTATGTGAAGGGCAGGAACATCAAAGGGTTTATGAGAAGGCCATGCAGCTGAGGGTCAGGATCCGTTGGCTCTAATTCTAATTCTGGCTACAGGACTTTTGGCACCATTTACTGGGTTTGCCACAGAATTTAAAAAATTCAGAAAAAAATTTCTGCCCCACTGCTTTTGGACGCTATAGGGTTGAGCCTACATAGAGATGGCAGATGTTAATGTGTTACCATTTCAAGGTTGTTTGTTTTTTGTTTTTTGTTTTTTTTTTTAGTACCAGGGTTTGAACTCAAGACTTGCGAGGCAGGTATGGTGCCACTGAGCTAAATCCTCGCCCCTTCAAGGTTTCTCATTTGTTGAAAGGTATAGAAGAAATGTGTGGGATCTGGAAGGAAAATCAAGACATACCGAAAACGGGGGTGCCCTGAGGGCCATCTGAACTGGTGCTTCTTACGAAGATGCACGGTGAGGTTGTTGCCCCGCGTGAAGCATTTGTCACACACATGACACTTGTATCTTGGCTCTGAGTCTCCCTGACGGGAAGGGGAGGAAGAAGTGAGGCCAGGCTCAGCAGTGCTCTTGCCAGCCCTTCCCCAGCACCAGCCCCACTCACTTCATGCACTCTGCGGTAATGGTACTTGATAGAGCAGAGGGTCCGGGCACTGAAGCTGCAGTTCTCAAAGTCACACCTGTAGGCTGGCCCCTTGCTGTGGGTGTCCAGGTGTTTCCGGAGGTCAATCATATTCTTGCAGCTGCCAGGAGAGGTCAGGAGGGGTTGGCGGGCCCAGGGGACCCTGGAACACAAGCTCTGTTTTCTGGCCCCTGGTTCCCCTTACCTGTAGTCACAACAGTCACACTTAAAGGGCCGGTCCTCACTGTGGCGAAAGCGCATGTGGTTGCGGAGGGAGGAAGGCAGCGGGCAGGTCATGTCACACAGAGGGCACTTATAGTGATTCACTAAGAGGAGCAGAGAGAAGGCTGTGATCTGGGAATGCAGAACCTAAAAGGGTGGACAGAAGGCTAGGGTGGTGGGCCACTCACCATGGTTGCGCATGTGGTCCCTCAACAGCCGCTCTGTGGCAAATCTCTTGGAACAGTGAGAGCACTGGAAGCGCTGTTCTGAGGTGGGGTGAGCAGAGGAAAGGGAGCTGTAGGGATGGTGTAGAGGCACAGAGAAGAAAACCAACCCAGGCAGGAGGGAACCACCCAAGCAGTGAAGGGGAACTATGGACAGGACTTGGAGTTAGGAACCTGAGTGAGAAGGTCAGCTTTACCACTTACTAGCTGTGTGATCTCAGGTAAGTGATTTAACCTCTCTGAGCCTCAGTTTCCTCATCTGCAAAAAGGGGAATGAGAAGCCTACCTCATGGGGCTGTTGTGAGGATTCCCTGAAATAAATGATCTGGCACACAGTTGCAGAATAACAAGGTCGAGTAAGAGACTGTGGGAGGTGCCTGAGCCCAAAAGGGGGAGTGAGCCAAGCTGCAGGTATCTTCAGTGGCCACCTTCCCTGGAAACATACCTTGGCCCCACTCCAACTAAGCAGGATGGCCTATACCCACCCCTTCTCTCTCATTGCTTACGATCCAAGGAGGTCTGGCGACGGATGTGATCTAAGAACTTAGTGTTGTTGGCGAACATTCCCCCGCAGGTAGGGCAGGCCACCACCTTTTCCTGGGTGTGGCTGCGGAGGTGCTCTCGAAGCTTACAGCGGTCCTTGAAGGTGCAAGTACAGCCTGGGAAGAAAGGCCTGGTCAGGGCCCAGCCCCAAACTGCCCAACTTGGACCTGGGAGCCCAAGTCTCTCCAGCCTGCTTCCAACCTTGTCCTGTGGGACTGGTCCCAGCCCTGGCTACCACAGTGCCTTAGCACCCCCAGGCTCTTTCCTCCAGAGGCCAGAGTGAAGGAACGGCCCTACCTTTCCAGCCACACAGCACCACATGGTTGTCCTTGCCGACCGCTTGGTAGTCACAGCACAGGCAGTGTGCGTCCACGTGCCGATAAAACCACTCAGGATTGTCGAAGGAGCTCTGTGCCAGGGCAACTTGGGGTGAGGATGAGAGTGGTGGAAGGACTCATACCCCCAAGCCAAAGGGGGCTTTTCAGCTCTCCCCCAAATTAACTTGGTGGGGATGGGAAAAGTTTGAGGAAAGGAGCTATACAGAAATAGACACTAGCAAGAATCTTGGGAAATAAAAGGCACCCCAGAAAGGGTCAAGGTATCTTGAGTTGATTCCCAGGTTCCTTCCACCCCTATTTCTGGCACTGCCTGCTGACCTCACAATGTTCCCACAGACACAGAAAGTGGTCAGGGATGTCAGGGATGATATTCCGGCTCTGGAAGTCCAGGATGCAGGGGCTGAGGTCAGCCTGGCTTTGCAAGGCCTGCAGCCCCCACTGTTTGAGCTTGGTGTGGTAGCAGTGGAAGTAGACGTGGCGGATGAGGTCAGCTGAATTGTCCAGAGAGCAAAAGCCACATTCCTGCCACAAGCAGGAGAATTCTTCCTCTGTAGAAAGGGGTTTAGAAGGAAGAGTGTGATACTTTTCAAGGCTCAGGCTGTCTTCCACCTCAGGTACCTATAAGCAAGCCTCTAAGTTATCAGAGGCTGATTCAGTAAATACCAGTATTGTATCATCCTCAATTGTGTCAAGCACTCAGGATATAACAAGAGTCCCAGTCCTTGTCCTCACATAGCTTTCATCCGGGGAAACAACATTAATCAAATAATCAAAGCTATAAATATAAAATTGTAATTAATGACAAGTGCTATGAGGTGAGGCATAGGAGGTATTATAAAAGGAGTAAGAAATTTTTTTTTTTAAAAAAGTATTAAACAGGTTGGGGATGTAGCTCAGTGGTGCTACACCTGCCCTGCAAGTGCAAGGTCCTGAGTTTGATCCCAGTACCAAAAACAACAACAACAACAACAAAAAAAAAAACTACTAAACGGATGTGGTAGCACACATCTATAACTGCAGCACTCAGGAGGCTGAGGCAGGAGGATCAGCACGAGTTTGAAGCCAGGCTAAGCTACTTAGTGAGTTCAAGGCCAGCTGAACTGCAGAGTGAGACCCTGTCTCAAAAAACAAAACAAGCTGGGCATGGTGGCACACATCTGTACAGCACTCAGGAGGCTGAGGCAGGAGGATCACTGTGAGTTCAAAGCCAGCCTTAACTACATAGCAGAGACCCTGTCTCAAAAACATAACAAAACAAAGTATTAAACAGAAATAATTTGATGCAGGCAGAGGTGCCCTGGGAAATGTTCCATATTGAGAGCAAAAGGATGAGTATGTACAAGAAGATGAAAGCAAGGCGTGGTGGCACACGGGTATAATCCCAGCACTTGGGAGGCTGAGGTAGGAGGATCGCTGTGATTTTGAGATCAGCCTGGGCTACACAGTGAGTTTCAGGTCAGTCTCAACTACATAGTGAGACCCTGTCTCAAAATAAATAAATAAATAAATAAATAAATAAATAAATAAATAATTGATTGTATGTATGTATGTATTCCTGACTGTTGGTTAAAGTTTAAAAGAAGGGTAAGGGACACTAATACAAAATAAAACCAATAGCTTATACAGTGTGACCTTTTTTTTTGGTTTTTGAGATAGTGTCTCACTATGTAGTTGAGCAACTTTTTTTTTTTTTTTGGTACCGGGGATTGAACTCGGGTCCTTGTGCTTGCAAGGCAGGCCACCGAACCGCTGAGCTAAATTCCCCGCCCTCACTATGTAGTTGAGCAACTTTTTTTTTTTTTTTGGTACCGGGGATTGAACTCGGGTCCTTGTGCTTGCAAGGCAGGCCACCGAACCGCTGAGCTAAATTCCCAGCCCTCACTATGTAGTTGAGACTGACCTGGTACACACTATGTAGTCCAGGCTGGTCTCGAACTCAGCATCCTCCTGCCTCAGCCTCCCGAGTGCTGGGATTACAGGCATGCGCCACCACCACGCCCGGCAGATGACCATTTTTAATACATGAAAGCAGCCAGGCATGACAGCGCACGCTCAGCACTTAAACCTGCCTGGGCTACACAGGAGTTCAAGGTCAGTCTGAACAAGACCCTGTCTCAAAAAACAAAACTAAACTAAACAAAAAATATATATATGTACACAAAGGCAGAGGAAGACCAAAAAGAATGTTCACTGAAGTACTACCAGTAATTGTCTCTTGGGACTGTAGCAAGCATTTGTCTAGCATGCAGAAAGGTCCTGGGGTTGCCCAATATCACAGTCAACGAGTCAATCAAAGTAACTATACCTTGATGGCAAGATGGAGATCATTTCTTACATCCTCATTGAATGAATTTTCTATAAGTAAATTTATAATGGTTTTACAAACCAAAAAGCAAAGTAGAATAATAAACTACCATTCTCCCAAGCTGCCTTCTCCCTCTGGAGAAAGTCTCAGATTTCTCTCTGGCCCTGGCCTGTGTCCTGCTTCCTTACCAAGTGGGTTGTCCTCGTCTTCTTCTCCCTCCTCCTCCCCGGGACTGTGCAGATGCTGCTGCAGGTGCTGAGTGACATGCTCGCAGAACTCCTCCATGGCTGAGCACAAAAAGGAGCAGGACCCCCACTCACACTGGAGCCCCAGGTTCTCCTTCCGGGGAACTTTCCCAGGAGGCGACATGGCCTTTACCCTAGAGGAATAGGAAGAAATTCACAGCTGCAAGGATTCCACCCAAGCTGAGCAGGCAGCCTTCCAAGAATCAGCAAGTGTTTTGCCAGTGACCCATGAGAAACTCTGTGCTTTTTTTAGGTAACAGCGGAATAGCAGTTCCTCACACACCTGGAAGCTGTCTGGAGTTTTTGGGAAGGGAGAAGGAAAACTGACACTGTTGAGCCAGACACTGAGCCAAACACTTTAAAAGGCATTTTCACATGAAGCTTCAGGGCAACCAGCCAAGAGCAATTGCTATGGGAGGCAGGAAACTGCTCAAGTTCAAAGAGATGACTTTGGAGAGGGACTGGAGTTCAAATCCAAGCTCCACTAGCCTACCACCTACTACTGGTAGCTGTGCAACTTTGGGCAAAAGGAAAATAAGAAAACTTTTTGTTATCAATTTCATACTGTCAGGCATATTAAATATTTTATTTGCATATCGCTTAATTGGTGATTCCTATGAGTAGGCACTATTTTTATTTTTCCTTTTGAGACAGGGTCTTGCTATGGAGTCCAGGCTGGTCCTGAACTTACTACATAGCCCAAGCTAGTCTCCACTTGAGGCCGCCGCCGCCGCTGCCGCCACCACCGCCGCCACCACCACCACCACCACCACCACCACC